CTAGTAGTAATGCCCTTTGCTCCTAGTAGCGATGCCAGGAGCCCCTACGGCCAGGAGCCCCTAGTAGCTTCTTGAAGCCCCCTGGATCGAATGGTGCAGAGCACCGCCTGCTAGCGGAGCTGGGCCGTGGCCACGCTGCCATGGACTGCATTTGGCTCCTACTGGCCTTTCTGATGAGCATGGCGCCTTCGATCCATCCTGGTCCCAATGCCAGGTGCGCCTTCATGAACACGTTCAACGAGCAAGAGTGGCTTACCGCTCAGAGCAACACGTTTTTTGAGTTTCTAGGCGTAGGGGGTGAGGGTCGAGCCACGACCATGCGTGGCTCGGGAGGGGAATGGTATCCACCTTCCACCAAAGGGAAACTCCCCGAAGATCATGGTACAGGGCATGCAGAGTCCCACGGGACACCGTTGAGGGCCAAACGCCATCACTCGAAGAGATCATTCACCAGAGCGTTGAGGAGGCTGCATCAGACTGGGTTTTGTGTCTACCGCGGCAGAGTTCATGTCCAAGCCCCGGCTACACCTGCCACCCTGCCCTCACGGAAGACGACCGCCTTCGAACCAAGAAGGGCACCTGGACCGCGACTCAACTGCATCAGCTGGAACTGCGGTGGCCTGACTTCAGAAGCATATAATGAGCTGTTAGTGTGGCTGTCCTTGCATTCCATCGACATATGCTTTCTCCAAGGGACTCGATGGGCACTTGTTGAACCATGGGTTAGCAGTGGGTTTGCATTCGTCCCATCACCGCCACAGGCCAATGGTCACGACGGCCTTCTCACCATCATCAGAACCCAGCTTTGTGCACCTGAAGCCATCAGTCATGCCACGGCCCTTGAAGGCCGCCTGCAACATGTCCGGTGCCACATGGGTTGCATTGCCATTGACCTTGTCAATTGCTACCAGCATCCCAACATCCCTGCTAAGTCTAGACCGGACCCCATTAGTGCACGTGATAAGTTTTGGCAGGCTTGGGAAAACTTGCTCGCTAAGTTGCCTTTTCGAAATCTCTTACTTGTTGCAGGTGATTTCAACTGCACCATGGACAAGCCGAAAGCCAGTCGACTCAAGCACGTCCAGTACCCGGATCAAGAAGTCTTTAAGACAGTCATTAACCGGTTCTCGCTCGCCTCGGTCAGAGTCCATGACCCCTATCATAGCTACCAAGGCCCTGCTGGTAATATTGACTATGTCTTTGCCCGACGTCCACAGCTGGATCAGCTTGCTCGTCAAGCCTGTTGCATCAGGTCCTTTCCTGTCAACTCACATCGTGACTATCCTGATCACGCACCGATTGCCTGCACCATTCCATTGAACTGGAAGGCATGGCAATGCCACCACAAAAAACAGACATCACATCTGACACGTCATACGATTCAAAACATGCGCCAGGAGTGGGATGCGGCTTCCCCCACTTGGTTCGCCTTTGAAGAACATATGGATCAGGAACTCAGGCTGGCAGCTGCCCATTGTGACACTCCTGATTGTCTAACTGGTACTGTTGTTCGTGTCTGTGCTGAGCATTTTCGAGTCACGCGTGAACCACCAGAAGCCATTTGGAACATGCACTCCACCAGGTCCTTGGTTGCCATGAAGTGGAGGCACCTCCATCTTGCGCGTCATCCTCAGCAACATGTTGGTCCCACCTGTCAAGTCTTCCATGCATGGGTCCATGTTGTCAAGTTCATGCAACTCAGGTCTCGCCTTCGTCAACATTGCAAACTACTTCCAGGTCCAGCTTCAAGAGGGGAAGGCCGGACGAGCTCTCCCACGAGGCCACAGAAGTCTTGGAAAAGGTCCAACATGCAGTGAGCCTCTTGACGGCCTTGAGTCTCAGACACGAGTCACAACTCCAGGCACAAAGATGAATCAGCAAGGGGTCTTGCCCCTGATCGTGTCACAGACTACTGCCTGGAAGCGAGAGGAAATGGCCATTTCTCCAATGGTGCAACGAGTCGAAATGCTTCAAGCCGACTGCAAAACCAGCGATCGATATGATGATCAAGATGCAGAAGCACCTGGAAGATCTGGTGGAGGCCTCCCAGGCAGAGCAGCACATACTCCGCTTCAAAGCGCTGAAGAACACCTCGGTGGAGATCAAGCACCAACAGGTATGCCCATTTCTCCTGCACCTGTCCGTGAGAGAGAGCACAATGTGGGAACTCCTCAACTTGCTTTCCCACTGGCTTTTGGTTGAGGCTCGTGTGTGGCCTCACAATCAGAGGGAGAATCCTTTAGCCACTTCCTTGGCCAAATCCTCGAAAACCCTGGATCTCCGCACGTCAAATGGCCGCTCCAACAAGAGGAAGTGAAGGGAACTTTGGTGGCACTCCGACTTATCAACCCGGATAACCTTTGCTTTGTGCACGCCACCATCTTGGCATTCTTTTGGGGCTTCATCCACTTACGTCATGCGAAGTGGAATGATTTGGGTGGAGCAGCGCGGCTCTTGATGGACCTATGCAGCCGCAGCTCTCTCTGGGTCGATGTCAGAGACATCGAATGTTGGGGCGAATGGCTGGCCTGCTGGGATGATGGCAGGCAACACGATGCCCATGAATTTCTCAAAGCCTTCTTGAACTACATCCAACCGCCAGCCTTGACAGGCTCTTGGGTCAGGAAAATGCTCAGTGAGGGGAAAACCATCATCATGGATCACGGTTCAGCATGCATGCCGCCTTCACTGGCCACCAGCAACGACCGTGCTGAAAAAGTTTCGCTGCAAACCTTGATCAATGAGTGGCACACATACATGGGCATGATCACGGCCTTGGAAACCGACAGTCCCTTGATCTGTTTTCAGCTTGATCGCTTCCGCCCTGACTCCCAAGGCAAGGTGGAGAAAGCGTCCTGGAGCCTGGAACTGACGATGGTCGAGATCTTGGTCTCCCCGGATCGTGATAGCCTCCACACCGAAGTTCATGAGTATCTCCCAATTGCAGGAGTCTTGCACAGGGGACAAGATCAACGCGGCCACCTGCAGTGTGTTGGACGCACTCGCCAAGGCTGGATTGTGTTCGACGACGGCGTCGAGGCCTCTGTCCATCCCAGTGGTCGTCCACCACGACCAGAAGATTGGATCTGTGTCTGGCTGCTCCGTGCTACGAGAGCTCTGACCAGGTATTTTTCCACTCATTGCGGTGCCTGTGGTCAGCTGTTCATGGACATCCGCACCTTGGCAAAGCATGTGTACCAACGTCACCCCCCGGTAAGACAGATCATCCTGGATACTTTTGCAGGGATTGGGCTTGACTACCGGGCTCTCGAACCCCCGTGTCTCTTCTGTGGTGCAGCCCGCAGCTGGCTGGAGGGTTGAGGCAGCTGCCAACTCACAATTGCGCAGCAGTCCTCAACTTTGCGATTGCCAAGAACTTCCATGAGCAGGAACTATGCCGCCATGGCGCTATCTACGGCATGGCACGCCAATCTGATGGGCTGTCCGCTGGCTTGGAAGAGGCCTCTCCTGGCAACCTGAGTGCCTGGCTTGGCATGGACATGAAGTGAGGTCATGATGGCAGTCGATCAAAGATCGAAGATCGAATTTTGAGTTGATGCTCCGAGTACAGATGATGGCGTGAGGCGACATAGTCCTCCGTGAGGCAACTCACGTAGCCCCATCGCTCCAATGTCACTGGAGATGACCGCGAAAGAAAGAAAGAAGTAGCTTCTTGCTACTAGTTGCTCCTAGTAGCGATGCCAAGAGCCCCTAGTAGCGTCTTTGCTCCTAGTAGTACGGCCAGGAGCCCCTAGTAGCTTCTTGTTCCTAGTAGTAATGTCCTTTGGTAGTAGTAGCGATGCCAGGAGCCCCTGGTAGCGTGCTTGCTCCTAGTAGTACGGCCAGGAGCCCCTAGTAGCTTCTTG